ATATATATGTACATATATACATATAACTCTTTCATTATACATACGAATAGATATACAGATATATACTTTTGCTCATGTGTATATTTTTATACTGATATGTTTTATATTAATATATATATATACACATATATATACATATATTTATTTATATATTTATACACATACATATAAAAATATACACAGCATGCGAATGTGGATAGATATATATATATATATATTAAATGATCTATATATATATATATGTAAATAAATATATACATAATCTATATGTCTATATATATATATATATATATGTCTGTGTGTGTGTGTTTGTGTGTGTGTGTAGCCCCTGCCGCCGCCTGATAGTCGTTCTTGTCGCTGCTTCTCGCTGGCGAGGCAAAGGCCACCTTTGATTGCAAAGCTCGAATCCACGGCTCATCTTCCGGATGCTACCGGCCCTTTCGTAAAACCCTATGAACATCGCTCTGCATATCCGCATCTCTAATAATACCGTATAAACAAATGTTTGAATAAACATATATATATATATATAAATGTATACTATGTGCGCAAAGGGGTGTTTTCTACCTAGTATGTGTATTTACAAAGACTTTTTTAAGGACTTATAAAACCTATCAAACACTGATATACACCCCTGTAAAATAACCCCTAAAACAACCAGATGCCACCAGCGACGTAGGATTGAGTGTCGACTGCCCGGCCACGGGCGAGCAACTGGTAGTGTGCTGGCCCCGTCGTCATGTTGAAAGCTCCCGGGTAGATCAACACCTCTCAACACAGATCTGCATCACGACAGAAGCAAGGAGAAGGATCTTCGGTTCAACAGTCAGTGGTTTGTTTTCTGTTTGCATAGAAACACCCATTGCCTTCGAAGCTGCCGACCAAGGGCTGCCTTTGAACATCTTTCTTGAAAGCGTTGAGCAAGTTTTGTAGTGGCTTTGCATAGATGCAGCGCATTGAAGTTCTTGGTGATCCGATATGATGCTGTTGTAAGTTGTCTGAACTTACTTTAAGACCGGTGGGGCGTGCGACAGGCTTCGTTTTGCAATCGTGTCGGCACGATTCTGGTCCGCGATTGGCTACCCTCCCTCGCTTCGCCAATACGCTGGTGTCGGCACAATTGTGCTTCGTGAGTGCTCAGACAAGGTCTGCGTATGCGGGGGGGCGGGGGTCGCGCGTTTCTTTGCGATTTTGTTACACGCAACTACTACGTAAAATGTGGCAACCCTCTGGGTAGACAGTGCTCCATGCGACAGCTTCCGATACGTGCCTGCCGACCCTCTCGGTGGACGCGCATCACGTTCAGGTGATGTTAAAAGATGGTCAGCGAAATCTATGCCGATGCTCATGCTGTCATGCTGATGATGCTGATAATGCTGATGATGAAGCAGATGCTGTCATCGGTCTATTCCTTCTCTGATGGTTTCACTGGCTACTTTGAGACATCCTCTACCGGTTTTGACATCACAAGCATGCACTGTCAGGTCTGGAAGTCATTGGTTGGATTTGAGTGTCGTTTTTCGGCTTTTGCAGCACATCCCCAATGTGGCTCTTGAGATCTTCTGGCAGCACCGTGGCTAGTGCATGTTTCCAGCACTCTATGGCAATCGTGACGAGTAGAAGAATGAGTATGGTGTTCCAAATGCCCGGCAAGAATAAGAATGCCAACTAATTCACATAAAGGTAAATGTCAATATGGATAACGGATGTCCATGCTAAACCGCTGGGAAAATACGCTTGAAACCTTCCGACCCCCGGCCTTTGCCCCCTGGGCGCGCATGGCCAGTGCCAGCTCGGGGAAGCGCGCGTCGTAGCAGATTCCGACGCCTTCCAACTGCTGCCGGCTCGCGCACACAACCCTAAATCTTGAATGAGAACACAACCCGAACCCTGCGGATTTAGGGTTGAGGGACCTGCCCGACACCAGGGGAGATCGACGAGAGTCATCGTCTCTCCCGCCGAGAGAACGTCTGACTCCTGTCTGCAGGTCGGGGCAGTAACAGCCACCTTGCAAATTCCATCGACCCACTCTCACGCGGAATGCATCGCCAATCTGCTTGCATATATGACTTCACCATCTCGTCCGGAGATCATGGGAAGCTTTTTCACACACTGGAGACAAAAAGCTCAAAGCTCCTTGAACTTCATGGCGGGCCTTGGCACTGCAATGCATTCCTCGCCCTTTTTCGTTCTTTGTCCTTCAGACTTCCGGCCAACTGAGGTCGCATCCGCGATGCTGTCGCAGCCACATCTATGTCGAAGAGGTGCACTTTCCGATGCTTTGCAACCTCTTCTAAGAGCAGTCGGAGCTCTGAGGGATCGGAAACCCTGTCTGGCTTGAGTCCAGGGCAATCCCGCCGGACGGATTCAGCACCAAGCAGGTGTTGTAGATCTTATCCTCCTGACGGGACATCTCCAGGCATCCTTTCTGTGCATCCCTTCTGAACGGGAACTGCAAGCGAGCCACGTGCAGCTCTGGGAGTGAGCCGCCCACGATCCAGATCTTCAGTTCTCGAGCCTCGCTGAATCTTTGCTGAAACGTATGCTGATCAGAATGACAAGAAGCTGTGCTGCAGCAAAAAACAACAGATCATACTACATGACAGTCTGTCGATCTATCTATACATACATACATACATGCATACATACAAACATCCATACAAACAAATAAACGAACATACATACATACATACATACATACATACATACATACATACATACATACATACATACATACATACGCGTGTACGTACAAATAAATAAACACAAATATGTGTATTTGTAGACATACATATATGCGTGTGTGTGTGTGTATGTGTGAGCGCATGTACATGTACATGTATATGCAGTCACATGTAGATGTAGATGTACATTTACGTGTACATGTATGTAGCGCGGTAGATTTCAATAGGTAGTTACAAGCAAGTAAAGAGAATGGAGGATCGACCAGCAAGCAATTGAACATGCTGCACGCAAGTTTACACATTACACACAAGTAATTAAACAGAATCGTGCACAAACAGGCAATTGGACATGCTGCACGAAAGTTTACACATGTATACATACATGTATACATACATACATACTTCCATACATAAATAGGTAGACATATCTATACAGGTGTGTATACATCTATATGGTACTGGTACAAATCTATCTATATATGTATGTATGTGTGTGTATATATATATATACATACACATCTATTTGTACCCGCGTGTGTATACATATACACAGACAGACACACACGCCCAGACCTACATGCATGCATGCATACATGCATACATAAGGCTGTGTTTCAGCACTTGTTGCTTCATCCATTCATTACTTTAAATATGTTGGCTTCAATTTGTGATCGTCAGTGTTCGTGCTACCATTGTCAACACTACTACCAGATTGTGAATGTAATGATACGTACTTATACGCATACAGATATACGTGTACATGTACATGTGTATATATATATATATATGTATAAAAGTCTGTATATGTATACACACAAACAGATAAAGGGTGGATGGATGGGATGCATGGATGGATGGATGGGATGGATAGATAGACAGAGGGCATTCTAGCAGGTACGGGCAACAGCGGGCAAGCCACCAGCTCGCAGAGGAGCTTCACACTGGGGCTCGAATCATCCGCCATCTGTCCTGCCAAGGCCCATGGATCTCAATGGCTTCGCGCCGCAATAGCACGACAGGTCTCTGGTCGGCATGGGTTCGTGTTCAATGGTTTTGAGTCGCATGTTTGATCTGCTGCCTGATTCGTCAGACTGACGCTGAGGCAAGCTATGCTATATACAGGCAAAAGCAACGCTGAAGATGGACTGAGCTCCGCTCAAGCCCATTCATCAGGATGCCACAGCATTCCGCGAAGAGCTTCAACTGAAGCTTGCAGCAGCTGTGCTGTCCTAGGGAGCTACAAAAGATGTAGATCAATTTGCTGTTGCTAGGTTGGTCGAGGTTGGCAAGTCCTTCAAACAAGCGTGCTGCTTGTACTGGTGTGGTTAAACATCTTCTTTCGGTGACTGCACTAGAGCACGGCAACTACTACAGTAGATGCATTGACATTGACTGACTGTAGACTTGCAGACTTGCTTCAGCCTGTATCGACCAGACTGTGCCTCAGCGGCTATCTGAGGACGAGCCTGCGGATTCAAGATTCAGCAGGCTCATGGATGTGTTGCCTCGAAGCCTCTAGACACGAGGGCCTCACCAGTCAAGAGCGACATGCTTGCCATTGGCATCGAAAGGCTTGGACTTGCCCATGACCTTGGCAGCCTTCACGCCGGCCTCCTCGACCGCCTTGCGAGATGCAGTCTGGAGCGCCTTGGCATACTCCTCCGGTGCTGGCAGCTTCACCTCCACCGTGCCATCTGTCACACGTGTCCGGAAAGTGGAGAGGTTCAGGTCCGGACTGGTGATGCCACATCCCGTTCTCAAGTCATAGACTGTCTTGTACACTGGATCAGCAACTGTGATTGCGCCACTGGCTGGCTCACCCACCAAGCCGCGAGAGATCACTCGCACTTGCTTGCAAGGGCACAGGTTCTGGGTGGCGAACCACTTCTCCGACTCATCCTGACGGTGCGACAAGTTGAAGACCGCCACCTCAGCATCACCGTGTTTCATTGCAAGACCTCCAACTAGCGGGAAGTCTCCAACCTTCCCGGCAGGGTACCACTGCCAGCTTTCCTCTGCCGTCTCCTTGGAAAAAGCAGCTGCACCCTTTATGTCTGGCAAGTCGTAGGTGGCTGGATGGCGCTGCTTCCGCATGTTGACGTACTCCAGCTGCTCTGTGTCCTGGGTCTCCTTGGTGTTCACGAACTGATGGAATTTCTTCTGCAGCTCCTCGTCATAGACAACCTCCTTCCACTCGCACTTGTATGCCTCCACATTGCGTTCCATCAGCGCCTCCAGGTCCGCGCAGATGCCCAGGCAGTCATCAATGATGACCTTCTTCAAGTACTCGATTCCGCCAGGAAGCTCTTCGAGCCATGGCGC